GTAGAAACATGGCCGACATGCAGGGCCCGCAGCCCGAGATTCAACAACGTTTTTTGCATCTGGGGCAGCCAAACGGCCAACCCTGCATGTCGGCGATCCAGTTCTCTATGTCGCTGCTGCTCCTGCTGCTGCTGCTGCGGTGACGACGGTTTGCTAACGTTTGCTACATCCAATGGCACCAGAAACACACAGTACAAGCCTTGGGCGCAACAATCAGGCAGCATGCCGCCGCCGCGGGCGTCGGCAAGTCACACATACAGGCCTAGCCACCGTTCGTGTCGTGAGGTGTTGCATGCTAGGGCAGCTACTGATCGCAGTTTGTCCTTGAGCTTGGGCCCAGTAGCACTTGATTGCAGGCTGTAGTTGACCGAGTGCCACAAGCTCGCAGTTCCATGGTCTGAGACTCAACCCTCAACAGGGAAGCTCGGAGCCGAATCAAAGACCTAGTAGCTGAGTAGGTAACCTTTAACCTTTTTGGGCTTATATATTCCTACCATAATGGGCTAGGGTACTCAGCCCCTAAGAAGAAGCCGCAGGAGACAAGCTTCGAATCGTTCCTTCAGAAGATCGGTGCGGCGGCCTTGATTTCAACTTGTGCCTGTAGCTGCCTGGTCCTGAAGAAAGGCTTGCAAGAGAAGGACCGGCCATGCTGCAGCCATATTGGGACATATTGGGACTACGTGTTCTGGGATGAATTCGACCTTGCGCAGAAGAGGCGGAAGCAGGTGACATGAGGACATGGGGCTCCTGAGGCTTCAGACTTCAGAGGAAGAGTTGACCAAAATGGATCTGTGTTTGTGTCGAGTTGGTTTGCTACCAGTACAGTAGCCTGTGACTCACGCTTGGCAAAATCGGAGTGCGTTCTGGGCCCGCTGCTATGCGGGAGCCAAAGCATCTGCTACAATTCGGGCGAAAGCTTCTTGTGACGACTGCCTTGCGAGTCGAACATCGGGAGCCATCAAGAACAGCAACTACAGTTGCAAGACGTGCTTTCGATATATAAATAATCGACACCTGACGTTGTTTTGTGGAATGCTGTTTTATGCAGAAATCCTGCATGGAGACGGAGCGCAGTAGGACAGCCCTCCAAAGCCGATGTGTGCGGCCGGCTATAGGCTCATCGACCCTGTCCGCTCGTAGATTAAGGCTGATTAAGGGTGGCCAAACAGAGGCCTTCAGAAAACTCCCCGGCCCCAAATCTTGATCAATATTGTACTTGGTCTGTCTCAACTCGGGTCTTGTGAGGAGCACGCAGTTCGCATTGTGAAGAGTGCCAGTCTGGGGCAGCTGGGCGTCCTGCTTACAGCGCTTGCGGCGCTCCTGACGGCTCTGGGCTAAGAGCTCCTTCCCGCGGGCTTTCGGGCTTGGAGAGTTTGAGGGTTGTACCGTCAAGTGCTTTAAGGCTTAACTATTCAGTGATTGAAGAGCGCTGTTTAGGGCTTGTCGAGGCAGGACTGTAAGGTGCAGTAAGGTCTTGAGTCGCGGGACTTGTTTGAAGATGTGGCGTTGACGGTGAGCACACCGTGTAGATTGCGCGCTCAAGCATTGGCAGCATTGGATAGCTCGAGAAGCACCACCAAGATTTAGGAAATATGTAGATGGTTACATAAGCCATCCACTGCACCAACTGTCGTTCTCAAGACTTTGGAGAGACATGAAGGATGCACGAGTAAAGTCGGTTCTAGTCTTGTGGTTTATGGATTGCTGTCGAGCACTCAACAGTTTGCTAAAGCATCACTTCACCAGCCGCATGGTATCCGCATGATTGCGCCAATAGCAGTTGCACAGCTTATCTTGTTTTCGTCCCCTGCCAAGCACGTCCTGAATTGGATCAGGCACTTTGTGTCGATGTCCCGGCCTATGTGAACCTGGGACCAGATATGGCCAAGGGGATGTTAAAATGGCTTGCTGTAGCTGTTGTGGCTTTTAAGGTTCAGAGTTTAGGGTTGTAATTAGGTGTTCTTGTTCAGATGACACACCGTGTTGGCCCAGTCTCTCCAAGCCCTCCGAGGTATGTCTTCCTGATGGGAACAGCTTGGAATATCCACTCGCATTTGTGACGAAGCAATTCCGAAGCTGCGGTTTCACCCACATGAATGCGTCGATCGAAACAGCGGGCGATTGCAACCGCGGTGGATGCATGCTTTATGTAGCCTACGTTGACTTAAGGTCGGGTGCCGAATAGATCAGGTTCACAAGCTCCCTTGCGTCAGCCCTTCGTGGTATGACCTGGCCGTGCTTCCGGATTCGATTCGATGGCCACAGGTCGAAGTCTATCAACCTTTCGACTAGTTCACTAGAGAGAGAAGGTGAGGCGAACCAGAACATAGTATGGCTGATAGCAGAAACATGGTTGAGCCGTTCTCGTTTTGTGTATGTCTGTCATGGTACCCTTCTGAACCCTAAACCCGAACCATCCCGAAGCCAATTCGCAGTTTCTGGAAAACTTGCACTGATCTTCGTGAAGTGTCCAAGCGTGACAATATAGAAGCCTAGATAATTACCAGCATTATTCCCTAGGCTTCCTTGCTATATTGATACTATACAGGAGCCCAAGCCAAATTCCAATTTTTAAGACCCCTACATCACTCGTAGGCCGCTCGCCTCCTGGAGCTAAAGGGTCTGCTGACCGCGCTGTGGCCCCAGACGCGCGAAGGCGCGTGCGTCTGTGGGTGTGTGTGCGCACGTCTACGCATGTGTGTAAAGTATGTATGTATTTATACATGTATTGGGGTCTTATTACGGCGACTCTTTGCTCGACATTTGCTTCGCAGATACCGGCTTTCATCGTAGTCTCCTTCGTGCAAGTAGCAGTCAAGAGAGTCACGTTCCTACGTAGCCGTCGGTTTCAAAAAGTGCGGCTACGCCCACGTATGTTGATGCAGCAATGTATGCACGTGGCCACCAGCTTGGTTTATGAATAACTGATGTGTATGTAGTCCAACAATACGTACGATGCAGATATTGCTACTGTGTCTTTAAGTGCATATGTATCTATCTATATATATACATATATATACAGGCATATGCAATGTCATATCCAGTAACATATTCATGACACCTGCGGATACATGTATGCATTTATGTATGTACATATGTATGTGTGTACATGCTTGTACATGTGCTTGAGTACCGAGAGACTTTCTTGGACTACTCGGTGTGGATGCTGGTAATACACATGCACACAATCACCAGCCACAGCCGCACATGTGCATCTAGGTAAGTCGGTATGTAAGCATGTATGGGTTTTTGTATGCATGCATGCAGGTAGTTTTACATGCGCATAACCAGTGACAAGAAATTTCTTGGTGAAATTCAATGTCGTGCTGGCCAGAACTTGGACATGTTCACATGTACGTCGGCCGCAGTCGCGCATGTGTATTTATGCACACATGATGGCATGCACGCATGCAGACATGGACATGCCCGAATACTTACATACATGCATACATATATACATACATACATACAGGTGTGCTTTCATACATACATGCAAGCATACTTGCATAAAATTCATGCTTATGTGCGTGCATGCATGCACACATACATAAATAAAAGCATGTATGCATAGTTTTGCATGTATGTGTTTACATGCACACACGCGTGTGTACAGGTGGAGTCTAGGAGGCCTTGCCAGGATGCCATCCACGCAGCCAAGGGCCTAAGGGGCGTTCTCCAGCGCCATGGCAGCCCTTTGCTCCGTGGAGGAACCTTCCTCCGTTGAGGCGGTAGAGCATCAGCTCGATGTCATCCATTCTCTTCGCAACGATGTGGAGATCTTCACGCAAAAGATGAAGACCAAGCTCAGTGCAATGGAAGATGCCTTGCAGAAGCAAGTGGACGACCTCTCCCACACAGAGGCCGTTGCAAATGAGATGTGTCCGCAGATGGCCGAGACGTGCCTTGGCGTAGACCCAGGTCCGCCGTCTGGTGTCTCCGAGAGACCTTGTCTAGTCAGTTAGTGTACTAGGCAAAATTTATTACACACGTGCGAGTATCAACGTAAACGAACTATAAACTTGTATGTGCGTTTAGCACAGACACAGACAGAGACACACAGACAGACAGAGACAGACAGACAGACAGACAGACACATATGTATGTACATGTGTGTTGTTCTGAGTCCTTCCAAAACCTCGCCTGATGCTGATCGACTGCGAGTGCTGAACATGTGTATACAGATCACATACATACATGTGCGCTCTCAAGACTGCTAGTTTTTGGATAATACAATGTACAATTGTTTACTTGTTTGCCTAGTTGGCCTTCTTTCTTTATGCTGGTCTTCTTCTAATCAGTTCTGGCTTTGACCACATATGCATCTTTCTAACGTCGGGCCAGTAGGACAAGTGGGAGAAGTGTTTGTTGGCCACATTCGGACTTCTGCTCGTTTCGTGCGGTTTTGAGAGTCCTGTAGATGAACACTTAACTTGCGTTTTGTGTTTCGATTTTTCCGCTTTATTCGACTGGCATGCACGCATGCCCAAGACCAGCCGAAGCTGAGGGAAGGGCGACGTGGTCGCACCACCAGCATAGATGACACGATTACAGTGGAGGAGCCTGCAGCGTCGCTTGGGCTTGGCAAGATGACTTTCAGATTGCGTCCTTGGGGTAGAAGGCTTGAGCTGATGACGTTGTCATCGACGTAAACGCCCATACTGCTTTAGCTTCCAATAGAGTCTTTCCTTCCGACGATGATGTTCATGTGCAAAGAACAAGCGAAAGACCCAGGCTGATCGAGCACCGGCAGAAGAAGTTCGAGGCAAGCATCGGCTGGTGGCTGGGATTCATTCAGAAATCAACCATCCAGGCCATGTTTTTGTGCTGCAGCGCAAGCGAATTCGTTCGTGTTTTGGGGGGCAATCGGTGGGCCGTGTTGATTTGCTAGCAGTGCCCACGTGGCTCACCGTAATTATGAAAGCACGACGTTTGCCAGTTGATTGCTTTATGTGCCGGGAAGACACAGGTATTGGCCGCTCGGGACTGTAAGCTCGTTGACGCAGACCACAACACTGCTTGGGAATCAGAAGGAAGTCAGACTACACAATCGGTGGATGCAGCTGTCAATGCAAACAGAGGCCGTGCCCCTTGGATGCGATGAAGACTCGAGTGTGTTGTTTGCTCTGAAGCGGGGAAAACGTTCATGTCCAGAGCTTCTCCGAGGCTTGCACTATCCGAGTACCGGCGGATGCCTTCTCTCAAGGGTCTGAAGCATGCTCCATCCTACATGTCGGGGGGGCCGCCAGACTTACCTCTGCGTTTGCTTCACCCACTAGGCAAAGCACGAGTTATTTGGGATCTTTGCGGCTTGCTCCTACTGATCGTTGACACCATTCTTCTACCACTCTCATTGGCCTTTGGCTGGACTTCTGGCACTCAAGATGCCGGTAGCTTCATCCTGCTCTTGGACTTCATTGCCAGCGTGTCCCTGGGCTCTTGTTAAGGGATGTTGTTTAAGCTACCATAATAGGGATCTATAGTAAATAACCGGGTTTTCTTATTATGGTAACTTAAAGATTAAATCCCCTAAACCCAGAACCCAGGTTCTTCCCTAAACCCTAAAACAACCCAGGCTCTTCTGGACCCTCGACATCGTAAATGACAGGGGGCTTCTTATTATGGTAATTTAAAATTAAATCCCCTAAACCCTAAACCCAGTTTCTTCCCTAAACCCTAAACCCTATAAGCCCTTAAGAACCAGTATGGTACCTTAAATTAAAATCCCCTAAACCCTAGACCCAGGTTCTTCTGGACCCTCGACATCTTCATGAACTTGAACACCGCCTTCTACTCGAAGGGCGCTTTGGTCTACGACCGGCACGCGATCGTAAGGCACTATGTGAAGACCTGGCTCCTTGGCTTTTCAATTTGGTGCTTTAGGGTTTAGGGTTTAGGGGTACTATGTGAAGACCTGGCTCCTTGGTTGTTCAAATTGGTGCTTTTTAGCCGTTGAATGTGTCGTAAAATCGGGGTTGCCTTTTTTTTTTGGGAGGGGGGGCTCTCGCAGCACGGACCACGATTTCGAAGATGTGTGACGGTGCCTTGTTTTTTTGAATCGCAAACTCAGGTGTGTTCTCGACGTCTGTGTGGTCGTTCTGGACTATGTCACGCTTGCAAACGTTTTGGCTGAGGATCGAGGCGCAGACCTGACGGTGCTGCGATTCGCACGCCACCCGGACCTTTTAAGGACCGGGTAGAGAACTCCGGAGCAGTTCCGAAGAATTGAAGACTATCAAATCAGCGATGCGCTCAAAATAATTAATTAAAGAAGTAACGGCATGTCTATCTACGCCGCGAATATGTTCTTTTCGGATTGTTGCATCTGTATTTGAAGCATCGACACAAGCATGCGCACATACACGCATACATACATACATACATACATACATACATACATACATACCTACCCAGCATGTTTTGTCACGCAGTTCGACTGAACCATCTTCAATGCGGGTCTAGGCCCCTAATGATGACGATTTTATCGATGCCCGTGACATGACAATGCTGGGGCTGATTGGTTCTTCTTTAGTGATGGGTCAGTCTTGCGAAGCCTGTGAAGCTTTGAGACATCTAAAGGCATTGCTGGGATCTGGTATCACTTGTGTCTTCCCAAAGCTGACGAGTTCTGTTGAGCTTTCTCCGAGTTCCCAAGTATCGAGAGGGTCACAGACAAAGAGAGCTGCGAGGGGTGCACTGCAAGCAACAGCCGATCTTTTTGGCAAGCATGCTTGAAAAAACCTTTAGCTCCGATGCCAGGAAGCCTGAAGCCAGAACCAGATTCGTTCATGCATGCGTACATACATACATACATGTGCATGGTGGCACGCTATGTTCTGCACAGCCATAAGAGCTTACAGTCCATTTGGGATTTTCCTGCTGAGAGTCCCGGTCCCACCAGACCGTTTCTCCACTTATTTCATTCCCCTCCACGGGGGCGTATTCTGCAACGAGTGTTCAGGTGTTGGAGTCCTTACTTGGCTTAGGGGCTGTTCTTCAATGTCGAGCTTGTGCAGCCAAGGCATCATTCGAGCATTTCGCCTCGTACGCTTGCTGAAGATCGCGCGCTTTGATGCCCCTGGGACACGAAGGTGATAGTCGGGAAGCACTCCTTGTGTGAAAGTATGTGCAGGGGCTTGTGTTGGATGGCTGTGTATTTTATCAAGTCTATCGGCAGCTGAAAACATGATGTGTATGTAAGATGGTGTGTGTGTGTGTTGTTTTTGTGTTCACGGTCATATATATACATATATATATATATGCATTGGAAATATATGCATGCCTGCACGTACCTGTGCATATGTCGGTATTGTTTCTTTCAGCGGTTTTGGTCGCAGTCCCTGATCTATCTATATACAGATCTATGCATATCTACATATACAGTGTGTTTATGGGCATGTATGTAACCAAGGTCTTGTGTCAGACAGGGTTTGGCGGTAGATGGGGTCTTCTCTTGAACAGGGTTTTCAACTAGCTGTTAGATCGGTTTTTTCGTAGTACAGGGTCTTCTGGTAGACAAGGAGCGCGCGAGAGAGTATGATCGGGGGGGGGGGGTCATTCCAGATTCCAGCTTGGGGAGCACATGTTGATGTTGTGATGGTCTTTGACTGATCGACGTACTCCTCGAAGTGTTTGTGCCCAGGACTTGATGCAGGAGATTGCAGCCTCGACGGGCAGACAGTGGATCATGTTGGTAGTTGCCATCATCAACACAACGGTCGCCATCTTATTGATCGCCCATGTGATGACGTGCATATGGGTTGGCGTGGGCGAATTCATTCAACGAGATGACCACTGGCTGGCTCTCGCAGCTTTACCAGATGATCGTTGGTCCGAGGAACTGCATGGAGTTAGGTTAGGGTTTCAGGGTTCATTGCTTCAGTTTAGACCAGTTGTGTTTGCAGGAAGTCGACGGTAGGTGCTGCTCTGGAACTTTCGAGAGGGTTCGCTGGAAGAGCGCGTGGCAAAATACTAATCACACATTCAAATTCAATGACTTCGTAGTGATACGCAGCCCCCTCATGTCGAAAGCCTTCAGCCCACAACATTTTCGAGCAGTGCTTTGCAAAAGTCGGTTTTGTTTTGCATGGTCCATTTGTTTGTCTTAGCGATGCCGTGTCCCCTGGCAGTACGTGGAGTCAGTGCCGATCCCGGTTTTGACCCCATGGATGAAGTACCTGCATGCCTTCCGCTATGTCATGGCCTCACCATCACCGCCAGTTATGGCACCGGACAGCGCGGAGGAACGACTGTTCGATATCATGACGAGCATTTTTACCTTCGTGGTGATCGGTGGGGCCATCTCGAAGATTTCCGGAACCGTGGTTGAACTTCGTGGCATGAACGAGGCGAAATCCAAGCAGCGCTGTGAAATTCGCCATTATCTGCAAAGCCAGGATGCCTCCTTCGAGCTTGTTTCACGCGTCATGAAGTTTGCTGAATACAAGCTTGAAAAGATGATGCCCACATCTTTCGATCCCAGCTTGATATCACTCACTTTGCAGACGGAGCTCTCTGTAAACCAGAGGTCTCGGTACATCAAGCAAGTCCCCATCTTCGACCTGACCTCGCAGCTGTGGCCAGAAGTATTCTCGAGCATTTGCGTGGTGCTCCGCAAGGTCGTTTGCGAAAATCGCGAGGACGTTTTCGTGGCTGGTGGCCTGTCCACCGCCCTCTACATCACAGTCACAGGAGAGTACAGCCACGTCGAGGGCTATGATGGGCAGGGCGAAGTCACAGAAATTTCAGGCGCCAGGGTGCCAGTGTTTGAGCTACTGGTAGCTACATTGCAAAAGAGCTGGGAGATGGCCACTCGTGTCTTGTTTTACTTCTAGACAAAAGTTCATGCGAAAAGAGCGGCATTCTTGATTAAGATGTGGGTCATTGGGTCATGCCTTGAGAAGGTGCTCTTTTAGGCTCGCCTTTTTTCGCTCGAGTTCATATCGTGACAACCCACCTTCTCCAAGACTTCAATCTGAGACAGGCGTGACCTATTTGGAAGAGCTCAGCCTGTACGTCGATGCTCTCGCGCACCAGTCGTCATTGATGGCAAGGACTTTTGCTGAGATGCCGCTTAGCATCATACAGCTTCCATTCTACAAAAACAGTATGGCGTCACGTTTTCAATTAATGTTAAGGGTCTGTGCATATACATATATACATATGTATATATATGTATATATGTATACTGTGTATCTATATATATATATGTATGTGTATATATATACACACTATATAGGGATATATACATATATACATATATGTATGTACATGTCTGTCAGCATGTAGGTATGTGTAAAATTGCATGCAGACCCGAATCGCCGAACCGGGCTGGCGCCCAGGGCCCGAAGCCCACAATGGACACACCTCTTAGGGTAATGGTTTCTGCCGACCCCCTTGCGCCAAGGTTTCTCCTAAGGTCCTCAGCTCCTAAGGCCTTCAGAACAAGGCTTGATAAGACTAGGAAACTCTCATCAGGTTCACTCTGGATGGCGACAGCTTGGTCAAGTGCCTGGGGAGTGCTCCGAGCTGCGCGGCCATGTTCTTCGAATATGCCAAGGAGTTCACCATGGCCGTGAAGAAGAGATTTGTCGGCAGAGATGAACCCTAAAGCCCGTACAAACGATTCGTGCGCCCAACGGCTCAGTTAGACACGACCATCCGCGAACCACGAAAGTGATCTTGCAATGTCCGAGTGGAAGAGCGCAAACTGTAATGAACCTGTGAATGAGGGGCTCAGTTTGGCTCCTACTGCTTCTATTATAAAGTCTAGGGTGTTGTTCTCAGGCTTGGGCCTCGTTGCAATTAAGCGGCAGGCATGATTAAGAGGTATCACAACGATGTGCAGAGCTGAGTTGTGGTTTTTGCCCAGGGCTGGTGGCAGGGTATCGCTCGAGATTCAGACAGCGCTCTCCGAGAGGTGTTGCAAGAAGACCCAGATATATCAGGACATGTACCCGGACCAAGAGACCCGATTATCCAACATTGATCTGTCACACATTGTGTCGGTGTGTGTTTCTCCGCCAACGCGGACGACTTCCTCCGAGTGGCCAATGATGGCAATGGACACCAGCAACGGCAGCAACGGACTCGGAGAAAGTCAGGCTTCTGGGCCGGTGAAAGGAGCCGAGCTCATTTGGCTGATCGAGAAAGCCTGGCCAAACAAGCTTCTGGGCTCCTTATAGTCCACCCCAGCCCTCAGCACAGTACAACCCTGCCCTCCCACTCGCCCAGGCTTGTTGAAAGCGAGCTATCGGAGCAGCTTCAAACCAACTTGCCGGAAATCTCACCAGACCATGGTCCTCACGTTCTCTTTGAGCAGGGCTTAGAAAGAGACCGAGCCGAGTCCTCCTGCATCTGCCTCCCGGCCAAGTCTGCATGCCCTAGCCATGTACAATACTATGACGATCGTTGGGAAAGGGTGTAATTTCAGAGTCTCTCTAACTCTCTCTCGCTTTCTTTCTCTCGCTCGATATATATATATATACGTATTCATACATCTGTCTGTCTGTCTGTCTGTCTGTCTGTCTGTCTGTCTGTCTGTCTCTGTCTGTATGTACGTACGTATGTATGTATGTATGTTTCTATGTATGTTTGTATGTTGCTGTGTTACAGGTTACCCTACACCTCGCCTGATGCGTCGAGAGCGAGTGCTAAAAATGTATATATATATACACATATACACTGACATTATTGTTAATAATAATAATTATTATTATTCTTATTTATTACTATTGTTATTGTTGTTATTGCTGTTACCATTAGTAGTAGTATTATTACTATTGGTAGTATTATTCTTCTTGTTACTTTATTGCTATTATTATCATTATTATTATACATATATATATACACAAATTACTTTATTCATTTCAATATCTATTTACTTATACTTATATGTACATATATTTGTATAACATACATGCATGCATGTATGCATGTATGTTATGTACGTATGTATGCATGCATGCATGGATGTAGGTATGTATGTATGGGTGTATGTATGTATGTATGTACGT